AGAGAGTCTGCTTCTCCCTCTGACCCTCTTCCCTCTCGTGCTCTCTATCTCTCATTCTCTCTCTCAAATAAATAAATATAATTTTTAAAAAAATAAATAAATAAATAAATAAAGAGTGGGTTACTTTTTGGGGCAGCTGGCTGACTCAGTCGGTGGAGCATGCAGCTCTTGATATCAGGGTTGTGAATTCAAGCCCCACCATGGGCGCAGAGCTTGCCTGATTTAAAAAAAAAAAAAAAAAAGTGGGTTACTTCTCAAGTCAGTGGAACTCAATAGGAAGAGACTGAAGAGGAAGTGAGACCCAAAGGGACAGAGATGAGGGCACGGGCACATTCCCCTCTTCCCCCAGTTATGACAGGTCCTCTCCCCCATGCCTCAACATTTCTGCTCCTACCCTGAGAAAGAGAAGAGTCACAACAGCAGTGGAAGGGCTGGATTTTACTTTAGGTTTCTCAAATGATCTCAGCAAACAATCTTTTCTCCTCTCACGAAACTTCTGGCCCAAATGCTCTCTGCCAAGCATCTGCCATGGAAGTTCTTACCTTTCTCTGTAATTTTTCTTTTTCTTTTTTTTCTTTCTTTTTTTTTTTAAAGATTTTATTTATTTATTTGAGAGAGAGAGAATGAGAGAGAGAGCACATGAGAAGGGGGAGAGTCAGAGGGAGAAGCAGACTCCCTGCCGAGCAGGGACCCGAGGCGGGACTCGATCCCTGGACTCCAGGATCATGGACCTGAGCCGAAGGCAGTCGCTTAAAACCAACTGAGCCACCCAGGCGCCCTCTCTGTAATTTTTCAAAGCTTCCTCCTCCACTGGACCACTGCTAAGGGTATGCTTGTTTCCTTTTTCTTTTTTTAAAGGAAGCTCTACTCTACGCCCAAAGTGGGGCTCGAACCTACCAACCTGAGAGCAAGAGTCATCCGCTCCACCAACTGAGCCAGCCAGGAGCCCTAGGGTAGACTTCTTTGTATCTCTTAGACCACTTAGTACGATTCCTTGCAAACAGTTTTTAAGAAGTAATTGATTGAGGGCGCCTGGGTGGCTCAGTTGGTTAAGCGACTGCCTTCGGCTCACGTCATGATCCAGGAGTCCCTGGATCGAGTCCCGCATCGGGCTCCCTGCTCAGCGGAGAGTCTGCTTCTCCCTCTGACACTCCCCCCTCTCATGTGCTCTCTCTCTCTCTCTCATTCTGTCTCAAATAAATAAAAAAATAAATAAATCTTTAAAAAAAAAAAGAAGTAATTGATTGAATTTACGGTGTTACTATTTTTGTGCCCACTCATACAGCACTCAATACTGCCCTCAAATCAGCCCCAGGGGCTACCTGAAAGAGTTTCAATAAGCTGTACCACCACTCACCAGCCGATAATTTTAGGCAGATTAATTTCTCTCTCTGAATTTGTGCAATGGGGATAAAAATCGTTATTTTCCTCCCAGAGTTGAGGATTGCATGAATTAATGTATATAAAGCACTTAAAATAGTGTCCGGCATTTAAGTAGGCACTAGAGAGGTGCTTTAATTTTTTTTCAATAAACAGTAAGAGATTAAACTGTGCTCTATAATTTTCAGCCCGCTTAAAAGACTAAGCAACAGGAGAATTCCCGTAATACTGAGAGCAGCACAACTTGGAATACCTACACTCTAGTCTCCCACAAATAAGTTACATATCCCCAAGTGAGTTATTTAACCTCTCTGGCACTTAGTATCCTTATCTAAGGATAAGGGGGAGGGGAGCAGAAAACTACCTCTGGGGTCCCTCTGTGCTGAAAGACATTCTGACACCCTATCTGATTTAGATAAGATTACCCCCAGCAACTGGTTCTCACAGAGGATAAATAGCAACGGTTTTCTTACAAAAAGGGCTTGGAGTTACAAGCTCAGTTTATTCCGAAGGCTATTTTCTAAACAGGCCAGTACCTTTTCCAGGGCATAGTCTTGAAAGTTTAAACAAACTGCACCACCCCTCCCGATTTTTTAACAGAGGTTTAAAAAAAATTTAAGATTGAGAGAGAGAATGCGAGAAAGCACAAGCAGGGGGAGCAGCAGAGTGAGAGGGAGAAGCAGGCTCCCCACTGAGCAGGGAGCCCGACACAAGGACCCTGGGATCATGACCTGAGCCAAAGGCAGACACTTAACCGACTGAGCCACCCAGGCGCCCCCAATTTTTTTTTTTAATATAAAAACCTCTCTTTAAAAGACAACTACCTACACAAAGAATACTGAGACTATCTGAGAACAAAAAGGTAAAATTTAACATAACCACTCACCTGTATTTAGATGCAATATAAAGTTAGAAAAAAATTAAATGTTTAGATCAAGTAGAGAATCAGTAAAAGACTATGTCTATTGAGTAACTAGTTTCCCTGTTTATACTTTAACACCCATGAAAACTGCCTGAAATAACTAACAGGCATCTTGCACAGTAATTCAGAGACAACACAAACTTGGGAGATACATTCTGGGGCAAATTATCATTATGGGTCACTATGTAATGTAAGCTATTTCTCCACATTTGGCCAGCATATATATTAACAGTACCTCGTTGATCTGGTTACAATGAATTCTCCACAATTCCATTCAACAAGTATTTACTGACCACCTCCAATCCGCCTAGCACTGGCCTGTACAATAAATGCTTTCTTTGGTCCCAGGCCATGTAACAGCCACACTCCATAATGAAAAGTATCTTATTGTGCCCTGGAGGCACTGCAGGAAAGGGACGGGAGGGGCGCCGTGTCAGGCTAAACTGTAGCTGAATTTTTCAATTACACTGACCAAATCAAATAACTTCAAAGTTGGAAGGGGCTTTTGAGAAAATCGAGTTCATTTTATTTAAAGATGAGAAAACTGAGAGCTGGAGAAGAGTCCTGTTATCACCCAAGGTCACTCAAGCAATCAGTCTCCTAAGCGCTGGTGCAATTTCCACAAACTCCCTTCATTCTTCACCCACTCCAAGACAAGCAGATTAATTACCCAGAACTGAAAAAAAAAAAAAAAATTCACCCAGTCTTCCGGATAGATCATTTCTAAAGGTTTTCAAAATATTCCGCAAGGCGGAACTAGAGAGTGGGATGTATAAAATCCGAATCAAGTCTTTATCCCCTCCAAGCTTCAAATACTCTTTAATCACCGCTTGGGGGTGGGAAGTGGGGTGAGAAGCAGGTGATTTGGAAACACGTAAGCCGCACCTCGAAATGTGTCCATTGCTCGGCCTTAGGCGTTTTTCACCTCGAGGTCCTGAAGGACCCCGAAAAAAACCAAAAACCCTCTCACTGGAATCAAAGCAAATGGCGACGAAAGGAAGGCAGTCAAATCAGACAGGGGTCGGCTCGCTCGCGAACCCGGTTCTCAGAAACGTCAAACGACGATGACGACACTGCGGGCGCGGGGCCCGGCTTCTCCCCAGGTCTCCGTGCACCCCCGGCCACTAGACCCTCGCCCCCTCCCCGCCTGAACCCGGGGGCCGGCGCTTCCAACCGCCCGGCCTGGGGACGAACAGGGGCTTGGGCTCTGTCCACACTCTGCCCGGGCCGCCTGGAGGGGACCCCGGGGCCGCGGCTGCAGAGCCCACCCTCACGCACACACCCGGCGGCGGGGCCCGCCCTCCCCAGAGGCCGGCCCCAAGTCTCACCGTGAGCCCCGGGAGCGGCCTGGGGGCGCTGGGCGAGAAAGGGGAGCTGACTCTGGGGCTCAGGCCGGCAGAAGTGCGCTGCACACGGACCTAGGCCCTCCCGACGCCTCGACACAGACACAATGAGTCACAAAGGCCGGAAGTGTGTCAGCACCTCGCCTTCCGGGACTGGGCTGCGCTTCCGGGTTCTCTCTAGGAGCGCAGGAGGATTTTGCATCTCGGTTCCCGAGTCGCTGGACCGCGTTCCTGCCCTCGGGTGCTCCGCTCAAGCCTCCAGCCGCGAGGTTCCCCCGCCGCGCGGCTCCTGCGCCGGGAGTTAGCGCGGGGGACGGACGGGAGGCGGGGTTCAGCTGACCGGCTCCCGCATCAGTCCATATGATAATTCGATTTCTGCTGTCCTTTCCATCCAGTAATTATAGTTATTGTCAAGCAATAATAATTCTTAGTAATTGCTTGTCTGTGGCGGAGCAACTGAAACCAGGCTGTGTCAACAGAGCAAGATCAAAATGAATCCAGGGGTGGCTGGTTTCACAAAACTGCCGTGGTAGCTTCTCTCTGGCCCTGGAGCTGTCGGCCAATTGAGTGCGTGGTGTTTTCCAATATTTGGCCTGTGGACAAAGGACATATTTCCACAACCAACGTAGCTATAAGAGCCTGTGTTTTGCCCATGTGGCATATGCTATTATAGCACTCTGAAAACTTTTGCCCTCAGGGTGCTTTCACAACCTTCACCTCTGGCTTTCACTTCCACCTGACAAAGTCAACCTTGCTTCACTTTCTGTGCAAGGGTGACCCGGCTTTAATGGTTGTAACTTTGCTCTATGGTCCAAGTCAAGTTCACGAAAGAGACTGAACTTAGTAGTGGGTGCATGACTGCTATTGCTTGGGAGAGATTACTTTAAAAAAAATAGTTGAAAACTAAAAAACAATTACAGTATCATTAAATGAAAATTGCAAAGTGGCGGGCACCTGGGTGGCTCAGTTGGTTGGGCGACTGCCTTCGGCTCAGGTCATGATCCTGGAGTCCCAGGATCGAGTCCCACATCGGGCTCCCTGCTTAGCAAGGAGTCTGCTTCTCCCTCTGACCCTCCCCTCCTCATGTTCTCTCTATCTCATTCTCTCTCTCAAATGAATAAATAAAATCTTTTAAAAATTTTTTTTAAAAAATAAAGAAAATTGCAAAGTGGAGAAACATAATCACTCCTAATCCCTACCCCCTAACCAGTCTGTGATAGCTTTCACTCATCCCTTTCCTCCCTACTTTCATATATATGTCAAATCTTTATTATTATTATTTTTTAAGGATCTTATTTATTTATTTGACACAGAGATAGCACAAACAGGGGGAGCTGCAGGCAGAGGGAGAGGAAGAAGCAGGCTCCCCGCGGAGCAGGGAGCTCAACATGACACAGGGCTGGATCCCAGAACCCCGGGATCATGACCTGAGCCGAAGGCAGACACTTAACCGACTGAGCCACCCAGGTACCCCATATCTTTTTTATTTATCATTTGAAACATAGTTCAAAACTACAGTTGTATTGGAAAGATGGCTGGTATGCCTTAAGTAGGTGCCACGTTCGTGTTGTGTGACCACTTTTCAGACCAGAGCGGAATGGGTCGGGTTTGGGCATCTGATGGAAAAACAGCTTACATATATCCTGACTGGTGGAACTGTGGAGGTGGCCTGGCCTGAGAGCTCTAATGGAACAGTAGGGAACTAAACCATTAGATTCCCTTTCCTGGGGAGTTTCAGTGGGAGATACACATGTAAACAATCAAAAAGCAGGGCAAGGGGAGCCTGGCTGGCTCCGTGGGGAGAGCATGCCACTCTTGATCTCAGGGTCATGCGTTCGAGCCCCACGTTGGGTGTACAGATTACTAAAAAAAATAAATAAACAACAAAAAAAAATGCTGTGAGTGTAGCACACTGTTCACCTTAAAAAAAAAAACAAACAGGGCAAGCAGAAATCAGTAATTGGAAGCCATTAGGTGATAGAAGCATGAAAAGTCATGAGTAAACAGAGGTTTGAGGAGAGAGAGAAACTGAACTTTGGAAACAAAGGCAATGAGGGGCTTGGTCACCACATGGCAGAGCTCACAGACGGGAGCCAGCTAGTAGTGAGGGCCCACAGCAGAATAAGGTGATAACCTGAGTCACTTTCAGACCCCGAATAACGTTCTGTGATGTCAGTGCATCCTGTGGCCCTATCTCCCCGCTCGTCTTTACATTCAATAAATCCCTTGTCAACAAAAGAGCCTAACTTTGTTTCTTGCCACCTGGAAAAGCCCAATCTGATTGATGTGACATCATGTGCACTGTTTTTTTTTTTTTTAATCTTTTTTCTTGGTCAACTATCCAATGTGGAAGCGGAGGTCGATAAGCTGGAGTGGACGACTGGAATATGAAATCAAGACTAATCATCCTGATGCAGCAAGCAAGAAAAATCCAGTTACGCTCTTAAAGGAATTGTCGGAGATAAAGTCTCGGTATCAAACTCTGCATGCCTGCTTTAAACCAATTGCTGCAGAGCAGAAACAGACTAAGAACTGCATTTGTGCTACTGTCAATAAGACTGTGAGCATGATACAAGAACGACAAAAGCAAACAGACCTGGAGCTGTCACCACTGACTGAAGAAGAGAAAACTGCAGCAGAGCAATTACAATCTTTCATGTCAGGGGTGCCTGGGTGGCTCAGTCAGTTAAGCGTCTGCCTTCAGCTCAGGTCATGATCCCAGGGTCCTGGGATCCAGTCCTGCATCAGGCTCCCTGCTCAGCAGGGAGTCTGCTTCTCCCTCTCCCTCTGTCACTCCCCCTGCTTGTGCTCTCCCTCTCTCTCTAATAAATAATCTTTCATGTCAGACTTATGAAGAAATGGACTTGCAAAAGGGAATTCTAATGGAGAAGAGATCCATTCCAGAAAGATTTAAGAAGATGCCTTGTTAGCATTTGATGGCTAGAAGTGGGGGGGGGGATGGAAAAGAAGATTTGGGTGGGGGGACCGGATGATGATGACTTTCACAAGAGAGGGGACTTTAAGAAGGGCAGATATTATAGGAATAAAGTTTAGCCAGAAGGATGGAATGGGAATAAAGAGATTTAAAAATAGATATGCAGACACACTTAGTCTTACACTTTCAGGCAAAGAAGTCACGTAACACTGTTTTGCATCTGTTTTTGTGTAATTGGGATAACATGGATGTCCTGGCCTATCAAAAGGATATTTATGGGGCGCCTGGGTGGCTCAGTTGGTTAAGCAACTGCCTTCGGCTCAGGTCATGATCCTGGAGTCCCGGGATCGAGTCCCGCATCGGGCTCCCT